TGATGAAAAAGTGCTTCCGGTGAGGTCACCGGAAGCACTTTTTCATCAAAAAAAGATGGCGGCGCCCAGCTGATGCCGGTACCGGGCCGTGGCGCCCAGCTGATGCCGGTACCGGGCCGCGGCATAAAAAAGGTTGGGGATCACTGACCTAAATAATGTGGAAAAATCTTAACGAATGGTTCCAGCTAGTGAATTATTTTGCTTGCTGCTAGGCCTGGAATCCATGGTAGCATAATATGTCAATGATAATGATTCCCTATATTATCTGAATGGAATTATGTCTGAACATTCAGCCATATTGTCCAGTATGGATTATTCTGCAAAGGGTTCATTTCAACAAAGACTCAAGAATGTTTATGCATATATGTTGGATTGCAGCCAATGTATAAAACTAGTCAGGGGTAATTGGTGGTGCATGACATTTATTGTTAATATAACTATTATTTTAAATTGGCCAACCATATCTTAGTTTTTGTGAAGATTTTACGTATTGTTTGTTAATTGCTTCACATTCCCAGATGAAAGCAACTGATGAAAGACTAAGTCACTCAAGTATAAAAATCCACAACATGTAATATTGTTTTTGAATGTTTGTCAAGACAAACCTGACTAATTCCAACAGTATTTAATAATCTGAAGAAAACTGAGTAACCAAATTATGGGCAAAATATTTTGTATTTTCCAGGTTCTTCACTTTAAGAAAGTGAAGTTGTATTTTTTTCTTACTTTGCAGTACTGAAAACATTATTTCTGGTAGCTTTCCCAAAGTGAAAGCCAAAATTACTCCTCACCCAAAGGGAAAAAAAGAAACAGAGCAGTGATACAAATTGATTATTGGTTTCTGTTGCCATGAGAGATGGAACACCTGCATCAGGACAGTGTCTTTAAGAAGTTTATGGAATTTTCCAGCAAACCAGATGTCCAAAAACCAAAACCAAACTAAAAACCCTACTCCAAACCCCAAATTATACAGCAATAAACTGCTAGAGATTTAAAGAAGTAACATACAAAATAAGCATCCATAAACTTTAACATTTAAAATATGGGTGTACAACACTTAATTACAATGCCTATTGACAATTGATAGTGCTAATCAGGGAATAGGAAACTGACATAGGAAAAAAAGCATTTGGTGATCTTAGATATCCAAAGTCAGAACTTTTGAACTTATGTTTTATAGCAGCCAGCTTTACAGTTGTTGATATTCTATCAGTGTTTTAGTTCTCCAGTCTAAGAAAATAAATGTCCTTAACTATCATCAGTATCAAACTTAGGTATATAATTACTCTTACGATGCATATTCCTAAATTACTCCATTTCCTTTTGCATTTATCTCTAAAGAACCTGCCACTTATCTTTTTGACTCATAATTATCTGCATTTTCTTACATCCGTATATGAAAAGATGCACCTAAACAGATAAACTTCAGATTTTATGACCAGTTGCTTTCGTGGTGTGAAGACAGTAACTTGGTCCTCCTGCACACACTCATAGAGGCAGGCATGCATTTTGATCATTTAATTTGAGAGAGAGGAAGGGAGGGAGAGGGAGAGGAAGAGTGACACAGAGAAAGTTTATATATCCACCAGGCTAGAAGCCAGGAGACCATGAGTTCTAGTTCCGCCTTAGTCATGAAAGCCAACTGGGTGTCCAATCATCTCTCTCAATCCAACTCAACTCACAGGGTTGTAGTAGGGAAAATAAGAAGAAGAAGGTGTATCAGATATATTGGTTGCCTTAGATATTTGTGAAATGTAAATGTAAACATAATAAAGGTAGGATACAAATAAATACATAAATATATATTTCCCTTTATTTTATATGTTTGTGCATGTATGTACACATACACACAAACACACAAACACACAAACACACAAACACACACACACAGGGCAGATTTTTCTTAAACCAGTTGAGAGTTAAACCACAGCTGCACAAGATGGAGCAGGATTAAGGATTGTTTAATTGATTATGTACTATGAAGTCAGTATTAACTCCTTGTGACCACATAGATTTTCTCCATGAATATTTGTCTCTAACTTGGTCCTTCGGAGTTTCCAAGGTGCACCCATTGCCACTGTAATGGTATGCAGTCCATTTGCTCCTGGTTGTCCTTTCCTTCTCTTTCCTTCCACTATCACAATATTATGCTCTTCTTCAGAGAGCTAGGTCTTTGCATCCATTTGTTCAGTGACTATTCAAAGCTACAATGGCACTGAAGAAATTGACTATGACCAGTCGTCAAACTTCAGCCCATCAAGTACCCTCAGGGCATGTAATAAACATTTGGACCAGCATTTATGGTTGCTCTCTCCCACTGCTACCCCAGCTGTCTTTTGTTCTTTGCCTAGGAAAAGGCAGAAGTCCCAAGAAACCAGGCAGACACCAAGAAGTAATGTGGACAAGTACTAGGGAGCATGGGATTTAAGGCAACACAGAGCTTGCTGTGGTATGGGACTAGCTGGTTCTTGCAGCTGGGCAATGTGCTGAGACTTGGAAGTCCCCCTGGCACTGGACCTGAAGTAGAATAGAAGCCTCAGGGCAATGGTCATGGGCTAAGACTTCAGTCACCATGCCATGACAAATCCCGCAGTTCCTAGTGCCTACCTACAATACCTGCCACACAGTGCTTAAGTCTTAGGACCTAAGGACATGGGACTCCTGCCTTTTCCCACATCACTTTCATGTGAGGTCCTTGCTTTTTATATTAACTTATTTGGTCCTGGATTACGACAATTGGGACTGCTGATATCAGCCACAATGCAATGCAATCACATGATATAACACTTTACAACTGCATCATTTAGCTATGGTAATCCTGATCTCAGTGCCAACATAACATAACAATAGCAATAGCACTTAGACTTATATACCACTTCGCAGTGCTTTACAGCCCTCTCTAAGCAGTTTACAGAGTCAGCATATTGCCTCCACACTCTGTGACCTCATTTTACCAACCTTGGAAGCAGTGGTGGGATTCAAATATCTTTACTACCAGTTCTGTGGGTGTGGCTTGGTGGGCATGGCAAGTGAAGGATACTGGTGTAAAATCTCGAGTCAGAGGTGGTATTTGCCGGTTCTCTGAACTACTCAAAATTTCCGCTACCGGTTCTCCAGAACTGATCAGAATCTGCTGAACACCACCTCTGCTCGGAAGGATGGAAGGCTGAGTCAACCTTGAGCCGGTGAGAATTGAACTGCTGGCAGTCAGCAGAATTAGCCTGCCATACTGCATTCTAACTACTATGTCACCACAGCCCTAGCACGGCAGTATGAGCCTGTTAAATTGGGATTTCACTGAGAAGTTTAAGGATACAGTAAATTCCACCTTGAACCTGAAAATTAGATGGAAAATTTGGAATGAAAAACGGGTTTACTTTGGGCCAGTCACTCTCTCTCATCCCAACTCAACTCACAGTGTATTGTGGGAAAAAGGGAGGAAGAAGGGATATTAGGTATATTTGCCACCTTGAGTTATTTATAAAAAATAATAAAAGCAGGATAAAAAAATATTTTAAAATTGTTTTAAGGATATTTAAAATTATCCGTTTTAACAGTTGTTTGTCTATCAGTTATCCAGACAAAATGCTGCTTAGGGTATTGTCATTTCCTTAAATATGTTTGAAACCAATGTATGTTGCTAAATTTTTAAAAATTGCCAAACCATATTGATATTTTAAATGTTAAAGTTACCTTAATTATATATGCCAAATACATATGCCAAATTTCCTATTTATTTCATACCACATTGTAAATTATAAATGAACTTTGTTATACTTTTTTTCTTTATAGTTATGAATTTGTTGTGATAGCTAGCAACCCTCTTGGGGAAGGTCCAGGTAGTGAACCAAAACCATTCAGAACTGAATCAGGTAAGAATTTCAATAACTGCATCAATCAGATATAGCCCTCTTTTAATTCTTTATAATTTTATAGAGAAAAACAAATAGAAAATTATAATTCTGCTTAGATCAAACAGTTATAGCATTTCAACAAACTTAAAAATTATACTTGTTTTAAATTGGAATTCAGAATGAACAATTAACATTTCATTTATTAATACAAACCAATATTGGGTTGATGTAAAATTTCTTTAAAAAAATAAAAACATGTTTAAAAATTCCATGAAGTGTTTATATTATGACCATTTTAATCTCATTTTGGATAAGTAAGAAGTATTAAATACTTTTAAACATATTTTTCAATAGTTTGAACACAACTATTTGGTGTTCAAACAGATTTGTTTCTAATGTCAAACAACTTTCTAATTCTAAAAGTGCATGCTAATAACATTTTTTAAAAGTTTATTTTATAATTTCTTTGCTATATGTGTAAAACTTTAGGTAGAAAGTATGTTTATTTCTTGAATCCTGATCTTTGTGCTTGTTCTTCTCTTTCTGTCTGCTTCTGTCCTTCTCTTTCTTTACAGCTGACCCAAGAATAACAGAATCTATTTCAAGTAAGTTTTCTTTACAAGTAGCATGCTTATTAGAGAGATGGCATACTGCGTACATAGCAGAAAAGGTTTAGAAGAGAAAAGCATTTTGCCTATCTTTTACAATCTGTGTCTTTGGAAATATGGTGGGCAGCAATTGGAGAACGTTTCTCTTAAGAAAACAAAATAATAATAGCATCGCATCGCATCGCATCGCATCGCATAGCATAGCATAGCATAGCATAGGTTTATTTGGCCAAGTGTGATTAGACACCCAAGAAATTTGTTTTCAGTGCAGAAGCTCTCAATGTATATGCAAAGCAACAATGTAATAATAAACATAATATGATCCAATAAGAGGAGGTAGTAGAGAAGATGAGAAGGATAATAATACTAATACTACAGGGTACATATACTTTATAAAACTATACCGTGATTAGGTGTTCAGCAGAGTGATGAGGAAAAAAAACTGTCCGTGTGTCTAGATGTTTTGGCATGAAAAAGTTTATTTGTTTATTTATTTATTTGTTTATTTATTTACTTGATTTGATTTGATTTGATTTGATTTGTCAATCACTTACAAGATACAGGTATAAGAATAAACATAGTTTTGAATACATGAGATAGATACTTATAGGAAAAATAAAAAGAAACAATAGGACAGAGATGGTAGGAACGATTGGTGCGCTTATGCACACCCCCTACAGGCCTCTTAGGAAGGACGTGAGGTCAATAGTTGAAACAGTTTATGTCCAGGATGTGAGGGTCTGTCTGTAGATGTTTCCTCAATTCTTCAATGGAAGGCAGGCTGGTTGCAATTGTTTTTTCTGCAGTTCCAATTATCCATTGGCGATTGTATTCTTCCTATTTAGTTGCTGTACCAAACCAGATAGTTATCCAAGTACAGATGACAGTAATTCCTCTGCAGAACTGTATCAATGGCTACTGGGACAATGTCAACTTCCTAAATTGATGCAGGAAAAACATTATTTGTTGTGCTTTATTAATGATGGCTCTAATGTCAGGTATCCATTTCAAATCCTCAGAGATTAAAAAACCCACAAACTGCTGCTGTGCTATCAAATAGAGTAAGAGTAAATTAAGCAATATTATTCTCATATATATTTATTTATCTTCAGTTCTCCCCCCAGATGTCAGACAATATTATCTTATTTGTTCATTTATTGAATTTGGAATCAGCCTTTTTGACATAGAATAGTGTGAAGGGCAGTTAGCAATAAATATATATAAAATCATATGATTTAACAATTGCATGAATAAAAATAAAATAAAAAAGAAATAATATGAGAATTCGCAATAATATTTTGTCTTGGTATTACTTTTTTCCTATTTTAGTAATTTCCTTGTTATGTGTTATTTCTGCACTTAGTTTTTGTACTTACATTTTGTATTTACTTCCATTTACTACAGTGTGTATTTTATTTTCATTTATGATAAGAAAGGGTAAATATAATAATGCTAATATTCTTATACATTGCTTTTTTACTTATATGCTCTGTTTATGTCAGATGTCTATTTTGGCATATATTATAACAAGAATCTCATTTATTATTGTCTTGCAGTGGGGAAAGATGCAATTTGGACTGAAGTCAGATTTAATTCTGATGACTATTCTGAATGTAAGGGAAAACAGTATGTCAAGAGGACTTGGTACAAGAAGTTTGTGGGTGTTCAGTTGTGTAACTCCCTTCGATATAAAATTTACCTCAGTGACTCACTTAAAGGTATAAAATCAAAACTCTCTTAATTGACTATTAGCAAGAAAGCATATAGGGGTGGCTGTTTATATAGGTTTATATAGGTATTTATATTGGTTCAGTAATATGTCTGAACTTAGATTTCAGACACAGCAATTTTGTAGAATTGCACTGGATATTTGTAAACATGATTGTTAAATCTAGGAACGTTTATGAAGTGTGACATCCAAAAGTTTGTAGTCATCACCAAGATAGTTCCATCAGTATCCAGGCAACATGAAACATCATGGATAATCAGCATGGAGGATACAATGAAATATCATGGGTACTCTTCTTCATGCTGGCAACTATTGAGTTTGAGCATGTATTGTTCTATCCCTCAACACAGGATTCTTGCGGGAATGTGCTATGGAAAAATTCTAACATGTTCTTTGTAAATCAGTATATAAACATATAACAGATCAATGTCAACTGGGAGACTGAAATTATCCAACTTGAATATCTCAGAACTTCTGTTGCTTTGTATGCAGTAAACATCCATGTATTAATCATCTTCCCTAGTTTAGCATAGTGTTTATACTTGTGTAAATGTGGGAGGGAACACACCGGGAACGGTCTTTGCCTAAAGACTGGTGGAATTTGGTTAATAATGGCAACAGAGACTGCTGGGACAATGTGGTCATGGTATGTATGTCTAAGTGCTATTGCTATCTTACAACTACATCACTTACTGATGGAAATTCTGCTACCAATTACCATTGTGACCCATGGCCTATTTGTTCTTTAGTTAATTGAATTGTAATCGTATTTTAATATTTCTAGGCACATTTTATAATATAGGGGATCAGAGAGGACATGGAGAAGATCATTGTCAATTTGTGGATTCATATTTAGACGGAAAGACAGGACAAATGCTTCCATCAGATCAACTGCCTTCCAAAGATGGTATGTTCTAAACCAAGGATAATAAATGGACTCTTAAGTATATTTCCCACCTTTAAATGTAATACAGAGTTGTCATCTTTGTGATAAAAGTAGAACAAGAGTCAACTTTGATACAGTGCATACCCGACAACTAAGTATGCATTCATAACCATATTTATTTTTACTTTTATATGCAGACCCAATTCAAATCCTGTGGCTTTCAGCAGCGTACAAAAATACAAATTATAATTAATACAAATTCATTAAAATGTATTCAAAAACAAAATGGCAAACAGAACTGAAAACTTCTCATTTATTCACTGGAGACTCAGTTCATGACTCCAAAGCCCAAAGGGGGGAAAAAACCTGCTCTTAACTGCCTCCCTAAAGGCCTATAGAATGGGCATCAACTGCATGATGGGTGGAAATTGTTCAAAAGGCTGCCCAAAGAGGCTGTGTCTCCTAGATCACAAACAATAACATTGTTTCAATGAAGGGATCATAACTGCACCCTCCCTAGTGGAATGTATGGAACAGGCAGATACCCTTGGCAGCAGATTGTTCTGAAGCCTAAATTCCTGAACCAACTTCCAAGGCAGTTCCTCCTACAAAGCTTTAAAGTGCTCCATTAGATTATTCATCTCTCCAATTGTGAAATAGGAACTGAACACAATTTGAATGAGTATTTCAGTGGTGGGAGTCAAAAAAAATTACTGCTGGTTCTGTGGGTGTGGCTTGGTGAGCGTGGCAGGGGAAGGATACTGTAAAATCTCTAGTCAGAAGTGGTATTTGCCGGTTCTCCAAACTACTCAAAATTTCCACTACCATTTTTCCAGAACTGTCAGAACCTGCTGAATACCACCTCTGGTATTTCATCAATGTCAGAAATGACCATCCCAAAGATTATAAAATTAACATTTCGTTGGCAGAATGTCCTTTTATCAAGAAAGCAAACATAAAAGTGTATTTTATCAACTCAGTCTGCTTGTTGACCTTCATTTGGCCAAATTAATTTAATGGTCTATTAAGAATAGGTAAAACTAGGTTTAAAAAACACAGCTATACAGAGGTCTTTATTCGTGTTGACATTACAGAGATTCTCAATTCCACTATTACTAAGCAAACTATTGCTATTATTACTATTTCAGTTATTATTAAGCAAAAATCAGTCTTGTATTGATTTTAATATTACCTCCTAATCAATTTATTGTTCTTGGCTTAAATTTTAGTTTCTCAAGCGCTACCTGTGCAGATATGAATTATCTATTTTATTTACTTATATTTTGTGTCTTGATGAAAATAAAATAAAAAGGGCATTCACCCTTAGGACTTTTCTAAATAATACTTATCTGGAAAATAATGCTGCTATAATTGTGTATGACCCTGAAAATTATATTGTACAAGAAGCCATTTAAAATGTTGGTTCCAGAACAATTCTATGTGTGCTAAAATTATCATATGTAACATACATCTGTAATTAAATTTTGCTTAGACTTCATATGTTCAAGAACACTTTAAAAATGTAACTACTTAATTATACATATGTGCGTCAGTTTTCAATTTTTATTAAATGTTGAACTTTTCTTTTAACTAGGTTATTTTAGAGCTGTTCGTCAGGAACCTGTCCACTTTGGAAAAATAGGAGCCGGAACACACAGTACTTATGTTCATTGGTATGAGTGTGGAACCACAATACCTGGAAAATGGTAGAACAAGAAACAAACTGATCTTCCATGCTTAGAGAAAACAGTTTGTCGTGATATTACAAACTGAAATCTAGTGAGAATACTGCGTTAACTTTCAATAGCATTGGCTGCTTAATTATAAATGTTCAGATTTGCAGTTATATTGCAGAAAGAAATATCATAAAGTAATGTCTTGGGAAGCTGGCTCCCTAATAGTCTCTTATATTAACTACTTATTGTAAAAGGTGTAGTTTATTTTTTACTATTGTTGTGATATTTTGAGGCACCTTTACTGAAAAGCGGATAAGAAAAAATATCTTCTGAATTGTATTAATGTACATTGCCAATGGTCACATTCTACTTTTCACACATACTTAAATTATTCTCTCAGTTAATTCCTGGACATTTTTGCCACTTCATAAAAAAAAAAATCCAGTCCAATTGAAAAGTTGCAGATTTTATTCGAACTTTAGATAAAACTGACACCACATAAGCTCTGATTTCACATTTGTTCAATTAAAATATCATTCAGGAAAAAAAGAATCATCTTAACTGACCCCATACCAATAACCATTCTACCATCCTAAATACCTTTAACATTGTGCAAGAGCTCCTCAATACAAGGTAGATTTCAGGTCAGTGATACAAACTTTTATTCTGCACTCCCAGTATAGATTGGATTGTAGAAACAAACAAAATGACATTAAAATTGGTTGTATGTCAGACAGTTATTGGTTTTGATAGCATTTACTGGTATATGTATAAATAACACTGAAATGGCTGTTCTATTTTTGTCTCCCACCAGAAATTGAATTAGTTCATGGTAAATACACACACATACACGCACAATCAATTTACAGTGGGGAACTATATTGTTATGGTGAAATAAAGATGCAAAAGCCTTAATATATTTTGCTGTTGTTAATGGAAGAATCTTTCTCAAAAATACTGTGTACTCTGGTATAGATATCTGAATACAAAGTACACATGCCATTTAAAAAGATAACCTAAGTATTTCAAACAAATTTACTTCTTTAAGAACACAGCAGACTCAATAATTTACTTCTTAAAGCTGTTTTGTGGGAAATGTGTATATTTCAGATTGGCAGTGTGTAGATCATATCAAGAATGTAATTAGACAGTTTTATTTCAGTTAAACATGGAGAGATGTGGCCTAGTATGTTGTATAGAAGCATATCCAAAGTACATGTATTTAAAAATGTTTTGTATAAAACTGAAGAGTAATGTGATGTTTTATAAAGTGGAAAATGAAGCGTTTTTGAAAATAATTTAGCTGTTCCCTGCCTAAAATGCTAAGTTTGTATTACTTAAACATTTAAACATTATAAAGAGATGTAAGTTTTAATGTAAGGAAATGTAAGGGACATAAGGAATATCGCTTTGGTTGTTTATAGAAAATATAAGTACACTGCAGGTACATTGTACTCTTAATAAAATATTTTTAATCATTATTTGATTTATTGATATATTCAGCCTGCACAAAGCTAAAATTACCTAATTTGAAATGTCACATTCATTTTTTGAAAAAAAGGTGAGAGTGGGGATTATTTTGAAGATTCTTTTTGCACATCATTTTTTAAAAGAATCCATTAGAAGGATTTTCAGCGTCCTTCAGATCATTTTGAAATAATGAAAACAGACATGCAGGACAGTATTGCTTTAAATTATCAGATGACAAATTCAAAATACATAAAACTTTACTTCATAAGCTTTTTAAGATATACATTATATTGAGAGACCCCCCATCTCAAAGATCATTTAGAAGGGTTTCAAAATTATCACAAGCTTGTCCACAGAAAATTGAAGGGCTTGACAATTTTGTTATTATATAATGTGCCATTTGTAAATTTTTGCCTAAATATAGAACATAAACATGGAAAGCTGGAGGACTATGTGAATCGTGTGCAGAGACGAACACAGATATTGTTCTGTGAATTGTGTGTAGCTAGAGACAAAGAACACAGATTTTTAGAATTATCAAGACGTGTCCAAATGATCCTTACAGGAATGCTTATGAGCAGCCTTTTTAGTTCATTGTTAGGATTCTGAAATTTGTTATCAGTTTGCCTTGGCAAAATGTCACATTAATTCATTTTATTTACAACATATCCAAAAATCAATATACTTTTCAAGGAAGCATCACGATACAGCTAATTTAAGGCATAACTCATGAAGCTGGTTGGTAGCTAAACTAGGTAAAAGCACCTCTGGGTCTCTGAAATTGGGCTATTAGAATATATGCAAGTTGTACATCTTTACCAGAACAAATTACACTGCAAGCCTTCCGGTGGCTTTTCTATTGGCAACAAAGATTCTTATGTTACTTGAATTGAGATCCAATTTGTTAACTTGTGTTCAATTTTTTGAAGCTGATAACCAGTTGGGAATTCCACAATATTTTGACATCAAGTAGGAAAAAAGAAACCATCAGGATATTATTAGCTGTAATAAATAGACTATATAGTGAGAGTTTAACATGAAAAAAGGGATTAGTTTTACTGATTATTGTGGAGAGATCAGTAATATCCAATTAACTTGATTCAATTCAAATGAAGTTGATTCTTTGAAGCAGTCATTTGACAAGGCAGAGACAGTACGGACTGGTAACTGCTAAGATCAAAGAGTATCTCTCTGAAGAAATAAGTGTGCAATTGATGCCAACATGTCAATTTCTTCTGAGCATCTTCTAGCAGCTTTATTCACCATATTTTCAAGGTAGGTATAATGATAGTTGTGATCCATTTTCAATAGAAAATGTGTGTAATAGAACATGTAACGATATGTAAGAAACACCTTGAAAGCCAGGGGATAGATGCTGCCTGGGGAGCCATCACGTAAGAGAGTATGGTATACCTGCTTAATGGGTGAAGAATGAGATTCAGAAGGCACCTTCCTTGTCTTCTCAGACTGTGAAAGAGATGGCAGCAGATTTGTATTTTTACAGTTACAAGATTTGTTAATGTATCCTTACAAAAAAGTGGAATCAGCTGTTCTGTTTGTTTTCTGTTCTGGTTTACCTGGGAGGACTAACATGCATAAAGCTTCTCTCAAAACAGATCAGAAACTTTGAAGTTAAATGTTGGGTGCCTCAGGTTTTCCCATGTTACATTCTATTGCATCAACTGCATTGGCTACCAGTTTTCTTGCCGGTGCAATTCAAAGTGGTGCTTACTAGCTAAAGCTTTAATGGCACAGGATTAGGTTATTTGCAGAACTGCCTTTCACTTGATGATACCTGCCTGCCCCACTAGACTGAATAGGATGGGCATGGTTCCATGTCCCTTTCCTGAAAGATTGCCATCTAGTAGGATCTAGGAAGCATTCCTTTTCCAAAGCTGTTACTACATTATGGAACACCCTCACCCAGGTGTTCCAGCAGGTCCCCACCCTTTTAGTTTTCCAGAAGGTCAACAAGATCTGGCTCTTTATCTAGAGTAGACCGTGAAGCGGGAGCCCTGGTGGGGTAGTTGTTGCATATCCTGGGATGAGGAAGAATAAAGTTTTTAGTTTTTTCTTATTGTTTTCATGCTTTTTGTATTGTTGTTATAAGCCTCCCAGAGTTGTAACTCTAATATGGATGGCCATAGAAATCTTTTAAATAAATTAATAGTAAACAAACTTTCTTAAAACAAGATATATTTAAGTAATTGTTACGGTTCGCGGAAAAAAAGTGCTGAATTGTAAGGTTCAAAATAGGCATGGCAGAAAACAAAGAATACAGTACATAGGTAAAGATAATTAAATAACATACAAAACCTGGATCTCTCACATGCCAAATTGAAGTGCAAGGAGACAGGCACAAGATAAATTGAATAACACAGATATTGAAAAGCAGCTCTAGGGCAGAGTGAGGAAAATTTACCAAGGACATATGCTGAAATTCTGGGGTATGCTGTAATTGACAAGAATATTCAACATTTATTGAAAATAAACATTTAAAAATATCTGTTCAATAAAAGATAGATGCTAAAGACAGTATGAATCTGTTGCATACTTTATAGTTACCATATAGTTTTTCTTCGTTCCAATATTTTGGATCATCAAATTTTAAGACTGGTCTCCATTAATTTCATGTGTTTTTATACAACAGCTAAAAATAATACAGGTTTTAATAAGCCACTTTAGTCTTTGATGTTTGGGCATGATTTAGAAAAAGAAGAAAAAGTGTAGAGCAGGGACATCTGAATAAAATTCAAGAAAAGTGTTATGTGAATAATGCTCTAAACCGGGTGTCAAACTGATGGTCCATGGGCTGGATGCGTCATGCGCAGGACACACCCACCCCAGCTCCGTGAAGGGAAAAATGTTGCAATGTCACATGATGGCAACATAACACAAAACATGTATTCTAAACAAAAAATCAATACTCATGAGCCCTTCTAAACCTATGATCTCGCCTTACTGGTATTCTGATGTAATTCACTAAGTGTGCCATGGTATCATCACCTTAACTTACAAACAATAATTAAAATTGTTAAAATCACACTTGGCCAATAAAGAATTCTATTCTATGCTATTCTAAAATAAGGTATTTATTAGCTAATCAAAATGTTAAGACAACACATAACAACAGCATTCTGTTTCCAGTACAAGAATTTTACTGCTTGCTGAACACTGAGAGTCCTAGACAGCTATTAATATGTTATGAAAGGCATTTTAATTTATTTAATTCATTTGAGTTTTTCTGCCAAAAACTGCCTCGGCTATAATGATCACTCAAGTATCTGTCATTTTTGCTGATATATGCAAGAAAAAGAACAAATTTACACGTTTACAACAGCATTTTTCAGCTGCTAAAATAATAGGAATTGCTTCAAATGTGTTCTGTGAAAAATATTTCAACAAAATCCAGGGACTGGAGACTTAGTTTTCTGTAGAAAGATAGGTATAACATTTACTAAACAGACTTCTCTGCAACTGATTGAACAATGATTTGAATTGTTTTATTCAATTGTATTGTGAAGGTTACAATTTATATGTATCTAACTTTTAACAAGTGGATCTAATTTAGCACTTAATTTTATTAGTAAAACCAATTTAAGTAAGTCAGCTAGAGGTTCACCTAGCAGTTTAAATGGCAAGCTAGAACGTCATCTGCTTTACATACATTTAGGTAGTGTTTCCATTAGGACAAATATTAAACTAGAAAGCCAAGCAGGAAACAAGATTCATTTGGTCATTTATCCCAGAAAATTAAAGAGCAAAGGTGATGCCATACAATATTTTGCCTTTCAATATTTTTTAAATATCAATTAAAGAATCTTCTTGTCTGTACAGGTGGAACAGCATCAGCAGCTGCTTGGATTTACCTGGGGCTCTTTAACAGCATAGTTTTCTTATCGATAACCAGGACCTGGCTGAGTATAACCCTGGCCAAATGCAGGGCGACTGCGTGCATAAGGATTAGGGCCACTTGGAGGAGGAGTCATAGTAGTTCCAGGAGGTGGGGTAAAACCAGGTCTTGGCTGATAGGTGCTGGGCTGGCTAGGGGCCATTCCAGGTTGCGATGCTGGAGTTACGCTATAATTAGCAGATTGGGAGGCCTGAGTTGTATAATTTTGTGGAGCATAAGTGCCTGTTTGATACTGCTGAGGAGGCTGAGCTGGCAGCTGTGGAGCTGGGCCAGGAAAGCCAGGAGCTGGAGCCTGGGAGGCTTGCTGGCTGTATCCTTGGAACTGCTGTGGTTGTTGAGGAGCAGTCTGTTGGCTGTAGCCTGCTAAGAGATCAAAGTAAAACAACAGACTTAGGTGAAAGTAGAACTTGCTTCTTTGTATTAGCATTATTTATTTATTTATATTGAGTTTTACATAAAAACAAATAAAAACAGTTAGAAAAGAAAAAGGGGCAAGGAGTGGGGGGAAAAAGACTACAGTTATAAAATATAACAACTTCCAATCTTCTCTTCAATAGAT